GCCACATTGTTATTGTTAAATGCTGTCGAATTGTTTCTGACCCATAGCAACCTTACATAGAGTTTCCAAGTAGCAGCTGGTGAGCTTGAACCGCCAACCTTGTGCAAACCAATATTGCAGTCCTGTGCATTAGCCCACAGCGCCACACTAGGACTCTCTGTGCCACATTAGAAGGTTGAAAAGTACATTAGCAATGAATTTTAGCCTTTTAGGTATATTGATACATTTAAACTTGGATTGCGAAAAATGTTTTTGTTGTTATACCTAACTACAGAGATATTTTTAAAACCATTTTTAAAACAATTGGATGCATTTTTGCTGAAGCACTGCACCAGAGTATTACAGACATTTATTTTGGAGTCACCTTCCCTGACAAGGTTACCCAGTGTGGTCTGCATCTCTCACATCTCCCCAGTATTACCACTGAGTTGGCCTCTTACTAATAGTGACACCATACACAAAAGGCCATTGCGACCCATAGGCTTTTCATTGACTCTTTTTTTAGCCGATTTCCAGGCCTTTCTTCCTAGTCCATCTTTAATGTGGAAGGTCGAAACCTTTAATGTGGAAGGCAGAAACCTCCCAGCATCATAGCAGCACCTACTTCACCACCAACAGACAGGTGTGTTGGTTGCACATGAGGCATATTGGCCCGGGAATTGAACCCGTCTCTCCTGCGTGGGTAGTGAAAATTCTACCACTGAATAACCACTGCCCCACTGGATATTAATAGTTATAAACTATGTGGCCCCAACTATGCTGGAATAGGACATGAAAGATGAGTGTTGCTTATTTGATTTTAATACTTATGAATCTAAAAAGACCTATAATTTTATTTTTATCTGGAACCCTGTTACGGTACTGTAGGATTAAGCATTGAACTGCAAGGTCGGTTTGAACCCCAAGGCCGATAGTTCAAACTCATCAGTTGCTCCTCGGAAACTCTATTTAGGTTTGCTAGGAGTTGGAACCGACTGGACATCACTTAACAGCAACAATAAAGAGTATTTAGAAATATGAAAGTTATATTAATTTGATATGACACAGTTGTACTTTATGGTTAGTTATGAACAGTTTTATTCTCTAGTTATTTAAAGTGCATCTTTTTTTAAACAAAGTGTATACAATCATTTGCTAGAATTTCTCCTTTTTTGTTAAAAAAAAAAGTAGGTAAACCATTGTTTATTATCTCTTGGTTGGGTTTTTGCAATCAAAACTTTGCAATTAAAAGTTTTTGCTGGGCCAAAGACTCTCTTAGAGAGTAAAAGTGTGGCTAGTTCACAAGGATCCAGGCCTCTACTCGCAGTAGAGTCTCTTTAAGACAATGACACTAACTTGGACAATTTAGTGTTTGTCAGCTTTAATCATTACAGATGGGCCAACTCTATCTCACAAGGTTAGAATGAGAATCCATGCATAGTTCTGTAGAGGAGAAAACCAGTCTTAATAAAGATAAAACTGAAGTATCTTTTAAGAAAATTCAATACTTCAGCTAATATGACCTCATATTTTCCTCTCCAACTTAAAAAATCTTTAACTTCACAGTTTACAGACCTGGAAGTTCTCACATAATGTATCCTTCTTCTATAATAAAGTACACACTAAAAACATTGCTCTTTTGACTCTAAAGAATTGTTTTCGTTTTCCTTTCCTTCTAGAAATTTCCATTTTTGACCTGATAAAATTAGTCCAATTCAAAATGCCCTATGTCTCTCTCTCTTTTAAGTAAAGGTAAAGATTATTTTGTTTCTTACATCTCCTCTTAGTACTACACTTAGGTTTCATAAGAGATTGTAGAGTTGTATTCACTGATAGAATAAATTCTTATGCCTCACTATTTCTTCTATTTCTTTACTTACCACGTGTGAATAAATACTAAAGAAAATAAAACACAATGCAACAATAAATGTTTGTGTTCTAAGAATTAAAGTACTAAAAAGAAAAGTCAGTATAAGGATAAGCAACTCCAGACACATTGAACGCCTGTTAGTATTTAGGGTTAGGGCCTTTAGGTCATTTTTTGAGCACAGAGTAGTAAATGATGGTGGTGGTGGTGGTGGTGGTAGTTATGTGCCATGGAATCGATTCTGAGAGCTTACCCTGTACAGGGTTTCTGAGGCTGTAAATCTTTACAGGAAGTAGAGGACAGTGGGTCAGAAATCTAGGGATTTAGAGGAGCTAGATCATGAAAAAATCTCCATGTGCTGGTTCCCTTTATGTGCTTCCACAGTGCCTTGTGTACATCGCTGTCATTGAATTCATTGTACTGTAAACTCTTTGAGGGGCGACTATATTTTACTCACTTGGAAAAGTGCCTAAAACATTGTAAGTACTTAATGAATATTTGTGGAATGAAGGGAGAAGATTGGGTGAATCCATAAATACAATGGAACCAGACCGTTGCAGTCAGAGAATATGATGTGAGCAAAGAGAAAGGTCTTGAAAGCTGTGGTTGAGACATCATCACACAGTTCAATTTTATTAAAATGTAAGGCAGAAAGGCAATAAGCTACATTTGCAAGAGTAGAGTAGGTAGGATTTTACAAATCATTGTCTTGATGAGAGGGTGATAGATGATTCATTAAATGTGAGCCTAAATGATCACAATGGTTCTCTCCTTAAATTAAACTGAAATTGAGACAGGAGTCTTAAGAGAAAAGGAAAATTCTGTTCTGCACATACTGAGTTTGAGGTGTCACTAGGACGTCCAGATGTAGACATGGAAATCTAAGTGAAAACAGAATGGGACCGCTGAGAGACTGAGGTCAAGGAAGCACTTTTGACAGTAAGACCTGAAGAAGCGATTGTTGAAACCAAGGAACAGATGAAATTGCTGTTGCTGAGGAGGAAAGATGGGAAGAAGAGTAGAGCAAGAACCCCGAAGGCAAAATGTTAAGTTTGAGAAAGAAGGAAAACAATAGCGGGAGTGAGTAGGAGAGCTGAGAACCATGTGTCCAGCACAGAACAGAAGTGTGCTGGGGGCAGGGTTCAAGTCTTCCTCAACTACTTAAGCGTAGGGCCACATTTTCCTTACCTCCAAAATGGGAATAACACCTAAGTAGTTGGGTTGATTGAAATGGCTTAAACAAGTATTACTTTATTTTTTTATTAAAACAATAATGTTGTTGTTGTTAAGTATTATTGAGTCGGTTCCCTATATAGGATTTCTGAGGAGCAACTGGTAAGTTTGAACTGCTGACCTTACAGTTCAAACCAACCTAGAGGTCAAGTGCTTAATAACCAATTAAAAACATTTAAGACTTATAAAGGGAAGATTGAAAGTTATCTATGATTTTTATTGTAGTCTTGGTGGTAGAATTTTTAAATGCTTGCCTGCTAACTAAAAGGTTGGTAGTTTTGAACCCACTTAGCATAGCTGTGTGTGGCACTTAGGATAAGCTCTAGACTGATAAGCACAAGGTTGGCAGTTTAAACCTGTGTAGAGTTGCTGTGAGTCAGAACGGATTCTATGGTACTTATCAGCAGTAGCAACAACTGGCATTTCTGTAGGAGAAAGACTTGGTGACACGCTTCCGTAAAGAATTGTTTTTGTTAACTGCCCTGGAGTTGGTTCTGACTCATAGTGACCCTGAATAGAGTTTCTGAGAAGCAGCTGGTGAGCTTGAACCACCGACTTTGTGGTTCAAACTGACCTTGCAGTCCATCACATTAATCCACAGCACCACACCAGGACTCCTCCACAAAGAATGCAGCTTATTGCAGAATGTGCCTTTTGGTTGTTTAAATTATTATATATTCCTGAGTGTTTTTGTGTACATCCCCCCCAAACAACAACAACAACAATAACAACAACAGAGGGAATAGAAGCAAATGCTTTCAAACTATGATGCATGGAGGAGATTGTAATCATTGCAATGAAACAATGAGTATAAAACTGATATTCTCCCATGTAAACTATTGCTCAATTCACAATAAAAACTTTTTTCAAAACAAAGAATACAGCCTAGGAAACTATGAAGCAGTTGTACAGTGTCACACAGGGTCAATATGAGTCTTAATCAGTTCCACAGAACCTGAAAATAATATGGCTCTTATCTACATGTTGTTGTTGTGACATGCTGTAGAGTCAGTTCCGATCCATAGCGACCCTGTATAGGGTTTCTGAGGAGCTCTGGTGAACTTGAACCACCGACCTTGCAATTCAAACGGCTTTGCAGTCTAGCGCATTAACCCACATTGTTGTTGTTGTTGTTAAGTGCCTTCGAGTCGGTTTCTACCCATAGCGACCCTGTACAGGGTTTCCTAGGGTGTAAATTTTTACGGGAGTAGAAAGCCTCATCTTTCTCCCTCAGAGCGGCTGGTAGTTTCGAACCGCTGACCTTAAGATTCGCAGCACGATTCGTAACCACTATGCTACCAGAGCCCCTTATTAACCCACATACAAGTGATTATATTGTACTTTTTAAAATGTCATGCAATCAGTTCAAAACTGAAGACTTAATTATTATGTTAATGTTGTATACAGGAATGTAGTGTCTTTTGCCGCCATCTTCAGAATAAAACATTTTAGAATTTATATATAATTCAGCTCTATCTTATCAAACTTATTTTCCTTATCACACACTGAATACCTAGCATTTGTCTAGCTTTTTAATTATTTTTTTTTTAACTAACTTCTTACAACTACGGTTTCTGTTTTCCAGATCTTAGGGTGTTTATTTTGTGTTTTCATATATGCCATTAGTTTTCTCACCAAGACTAGAGACCTCAGCTTTTAAGACAATCTAAAATTCATAGTGTTTGTTTAATATATTATATTGAATAGATTATCTTTTCTTTTTTACTTTTGGGAGAAATTTTATTCAGTAGCATTTGGAAATTTTACTTCAGAAAATACTATACAATAAAAAATACATTTCCCCACTTCTCAGTAACATACATAAGACACATGTCTATGTGGCATTTTAATGCACTGACATTTTTTTTTATTATTTAAAAAGGAAATAATAGCAAATACTTTTCTTATCCTTTTTTATTAGGGTAGCACGTTAAGAAAAATACTGCTGAATCGCTATTTTAAAGGTGATTATGGCGTTGGTATGAATGGACACCTTACAGGAGCATACTCCAAAAGTGCACAAGTGGGCGGTAAGGGTTATTGTTTTTATGTTTAGGACTCTAAGGTCTCCATACCAGTATTACTCTAGTTATATATATATAAAATGACATATACATAAAAGAGTCATATAAAATGTATTATTAAACATCCATGTACCAGTTTGTGTTTACAAAACAACAGATTTGAACATTAGAACTGTATTTGTCTTTTGGCTTTCGAAAAATGATTAGGTTGAGTCATAATTTCTTAATCTATAAATTAAAAACAGTAACAAAGCCAATTTGCTTCTAAAAGCTATTTTAATTAAGAAAACACATTTAATGATGGATGTCAGACATTTAGTAAGTAGGTTTTTTTAAAATGTTTTTAAGCCCACGTTTTGATTATATTTAATTTTGTAAGGTAAACAGCCCCAGTAATAAATATTCTAAAGTTATAAATATTTACGAATTATGTCTGTCACTTACCTGTGGTTTCCCACCCCCCCTCACTTCCAACCCCGATCACAGGAAGCTTTTCTGGACAAGATGCAGATAAGATGGGGATATCTGTGTCAGATATTCAATGTCTTCTGGATAAAGAAGGTGCATCGGAACTCGTCATTGATGTTATAGTGAACACTAAAAATGACAGAATCTTTACAGAAGGCATTTTACTTGGCATCGCATTGCTTGAAGGAGGGAATACACAAACACAGGTACCTGTTTATCATCATAGGCATTACATTTTTCATTTGTATCTTTTATTTACTTGTCATAGAAGTCAAGGGAAATAGTGTTTTCTTAAGTTTTTCATTCCTATCCCTGAAAAAAGTCTACAAAGTCTATTTTACTTTATTAAAAATATATCTAATTTGCTGTAGAAAGAAACTAAAGAACTTCACAGATTCTTTATCAAAGCAGACCATTTCTTAGAAGCATACTTCTAACATTATACCAGAAATTCTGACTTGTTTAGAGAATTTTTAAGCCAAATTCCTTAAGATAAATGTAAAACATTGACTCATCCAAGAATTAAATTTGTTAATTAAATGAGATAATAAATGTGCACTCCTGACTCTATACAGGGTTGCTGTGGGTCAGAGCTGACTCAGTGACTTGATGGCACTTAACAACAACAACAAAAACCATACTATTTGGCATTATAGCAGGTTTCAGTAATATTCACCACCCCTGTCATTACCACCCCCATACTCCCTTATTTCCCTTTTCATAAGTTTAGAACAGTACCTACATGTCACCCCAAATCTCATAGTTCTCATCACCTTGATAATTTAGTTCCATAATTCTAAAAATTTCCCTCTATTCAAATGTATTGAAAATGAAAATAAAATATGCTCTAATGAATTTTTCATTGGTGGTATAGAGAAGAACTCTTGGAAAATCAAATCCCACTTCTCTGATAGAATTGATCCGTTTAATTCAATTCAATTCACTTCAGTTGTCAATTTTGCTACCTTCTGTTGTACTTTTGTTCCGACTCCAGCAGCGTATGCTATACTTTCTCCTTTGACCCTAATCACCAGGAGCTATGTCAGACCTCACGCGTTAACACAGTCCTCCAGACTGCCAGGGTAACCGTAACCTTGGAGTCCCCATGACATCCTCAAGTCTGACCTGCTGGTTACAGATTTTGGAGTTTTCCACTGGTCCTTCTTGGTGCTACATGTAAGCTTGGGGGTCTCCAAGACTCCCTTCATTATTGTCCTGCTGGCTCCACTACTCCTGTGTGTTAGTTAACTCACTAGGATAATTCACAGGCCTCATAGAAAGTATTATACTGATGATTAAATTTTATTATAGCAAGTAAGTGATATAAATGAAGAGATACATAGGTGAGGTCTGAGAGAGTTCCCATCATGGAGTTCCCAACAAGGGGCATGCTACCTTCTCATGTAAAAAACTCTGGTTAGCCTAATGGCTACACACTGGGCTGCTAACTGAAAGTTCTGCAGTTAGAATCTACCAGCTGCTCTGTGGAAGGAAGGTGAGGCTTTTTGATCCCATAGAGATCTATTGTCTTGGGAACCCTAAATAGGGTTGCTATGAGTCGGAGCTGACTTTATGGTACACTACCACCCCCACCACAGTATTCCAGAACACTTGTACTTGTACATGGAAACTGTACCTAGACCCCAGACAGTTGTTCGAACAGAATAAGGGGATTCTGAATAGTTAAAAATCAGGAAAGATGTGCACCAAGGTTGTATTCTTTCATCATACTTATTTGTTCTGTATATTGAGCAAATAATCCAAGAAATTGGATGATGTGAAGAAGAACATAGCATCAAGATTGGACGAAGACACATTAACAAACTGTGATATGCAGATGACACAATCTTGTTTGCTGGAAGCAAAGAGGACTTCAAATACTGATGAAGAACAAAGAGAAGTATTCCGTTCGGTTCACAGGGTCTCTATGAGTGGAAACGGACTCAATGGCACCTAACAACAACAACAAAATACCACACATTGTTCTGGGTGCTTTATACGATTATGTATTAATTTAGTTCATCTTCAGAGTGAGCTCTAAGGTAATTTATATTATTATCCCTTTTACAGATAAAGAAACTAAGACAGACAGTGTCAATTCCTTAATCAAACTCACACAACTAGTTGGTGGTAAAGTCAGAATATGAACCCATGTAGTCTGTTTCCAGAGTCTGTGCTTTCATTCACTATAAGGAAGTCCTTCCTCTGTCTCACAGATCTGTTTATCCATTTACTTTTGGCGCTTGAAGAAACTGTAGCATTTACTTTGTACTCATAACAACACTTTATGACAGGGTAGACCTGTCCTATAGTTCTAGGGGTTCCTATGCTGTAATCTGTAAACTGTCCAGCAGTATAGGGGTTCCTATGCTGTAATCTTTACAGGAACAAATCACATCTTTTCTTCTACAGAGTGGTTAGTGGATTTGAACTGCCAGTGTCTCAGTTTGCAGCCAAGCACTTAGCCATTGTATCACCATGGCTCCTTTAAGATTATGTAACTATATATAAGACTACTTTTAAATCACCGTTAAAATGATGCTATTCTGCTTCCAAAACACTATGCAATGTTCTGCTTCATATAGCTCTGATTTTCTCTCTCTCTTTTTTATATTAATTTGCTTGTTATATTTTATCTCTTCCACTAGATTATTGCCTTCTTCAGGAGGGCTGAGGCCATGTCAATTTGTTATATTCTTGTATACAATCAATACTCAACAAATGAGCCAATTCTCTTTTTATGGTTAGATTTGTCCCAATGTTTTCACTCTACGGCAGTGTAGACAATACAGTATTTTTGGAGGTTAAGAGTTTAGAATCCCTCTAGTCACCTCTTATCTTAGTGGCCTTTGTGTACCTCAGTGTTCTGGTCAATAAAATGGAGATATAGCTCTGATTGTTAAAAGATACATTGTTGTTGTTAAGTGCCGTGAAGTTGGTCCCAACTCAGTGACACTGTATAGGGTTTTTAAGGCTATACATGTTTGCAGGAACAGAAAGTCTTATCTTTTTCCTTCAGAGTAGCTGGTGAACTCGGATCACCAACCTTAAGGTTTGTAATCCAGTGCTTATCTTATGTAAATAATATGTTAATTTCCACTAAAGAGGTTACTTTTTAATTTTAATCATTTAGAATAAAAGCGTTGCAATTTGAATCCAAACTCCACCACTTACTAGTTATGTAACATTGGACAGATCACAAACTTCACTAAGCTTCATTTTATTAATCTATAAAGGAGAAATCCTAATGTCTTCCATTTATTTCACAGTTGTCTTACAAATTCCAGTGCGCGAACACATGTGACAGAATTTCATAAATTGTAGAACTTTGTTTAATATATCTGCAACTTGCCTTATTAATATATCAGAACCTTCTTCTACCTTCCCACCCCTGTATATTGAAAATGTTAGGAATTAAGCATCAGCTTAATTTGCAGAAATCTGCTAATGTTACATTTGTCCTTCGAATTAACAGAACCAGCTCCACTGTTTCTCTGTAGTTGCTATGGTTACTGTAATTTTTTGGCCTGCTTCCTAGAGGGATTGCTAGTCGTTTGCTCAGGAATTTCCCTTCGTAGGTATGAAGCTGATGTCTAAGGTTTCATAAAACCCTGTGTATATATATAGCCTGTATCTAAAATTGAAGAACAAGCAACCATTTCCAGATTCAATGTCATTAGAGTCTCACTTACAAGTCCCAGGACCTGTTGGTCAGGGCTCCAGGCATTCCTTTAGGGGAGCAGATCTTCAGGACCCAAACTATTCCAACTTGGTTGATTAAATTCAAAAAAAAAAAAAAAAGATGTTCATTTCTACTTCATCTGAATATTGTTATTTTTTTGTACATTTTCCTCACATTGCCTCACATCACGGTTGTGACATTCTCTTAATCGCTAAAGTCACATGACTTGTTTCCTTCATTATATTTCTTACTAAGTAGATCTTATTTGTATTGAATCTATCCTATTTTGGTCTTTAGTAGGGATAACTCATAATTTCCCTACCATTTAAAAATTTTGTCTTCTCTGGAGTGTATCACTTTTCTACCTCCTGCTTCTCCTGGCTACTTCAACAAAACAATGAGCAGATAACAACTGGCTCAGATATTCTCACATTTTAGTATATGCACATCTTCACTAAGATCTATTGTATCATGCTTCTAGTGTTGAGTCCTTTTTACTTCATTATTCACGCTAAAGCAAACTTCATTTTAAGGTGGGTTCTTCCTAGAGGCCATGCAAAGGGATGTAGTTAATGGAATACCCAAAGAGCCTTGTCCCCATTTATCAATGGATTCCCACAAATGAGGCTGCCATGGTAACACATTCTAAATTAAATGGGCTGTAAGTGAGCTAAAGAGAAAAATAACTCTAGGTAATTCCAGAAAGCCACTTTACACCAGATGCTCACTGGATTAGTCGTTCCACTCTGTATTATAAACTCATAAGGGTAGAGATTGTAATTGCTTTTCCTTTCTGTTCTTTCTTACCCCTAGCGTAGAGACTGGTACATAGTAGGTACTCAGTAAGTATTTGTTGAATCAGTACATGACTGTATATAATAATATAAAAATCAAATAACTTTGCATACAGCTTCATACAGATTATAAATATTTTAATATATAATAAGGATGAATCAAATATAAAAATGTGTTGGGTTTTAATAGAAAGTGCTAAGTAAATAGAAGCTATTACTGTTGTTAGATGCTGTCAAGTTGGTTCTGACTTATGGCGACCCTATTCACTACTGAACAAAACATTGTCCTATCCTGGGCCACCCTACAATCGCTGCTACTCTTGAGCCCACTGCTGCTGCCACTGTGCCAATCCATCTTGCTGGTGGTCTTTCTCTTTTTTGCTGATCCTCCATTTTCCCAAGCACGATGTCCTTCTACAGGGTCCCTCCTGATAACATGTCGAGCCAGTTTTGACTCACAGAGACCCCATGTAGGGTTTCTGAAGAGTGGCTGGCTGGTGGACTTGAACCACTGATCTTACAGTTAGCAGTCTAGTGCTTATCCTACAACACCACACCAGAACCCAAAGCTATTACTTGAAGATATTATGATATTATTCTTGTTGGTGTTGGCAAGTGCCTTCCAGTTGGTTCCAACTTGTAGCAACCCTGTATGGGGTTTCTGGGGAACAGTTGGTGGATTTGAACTTCTGACCTTTGGGTTTGCAGTCCAATGCTGATCCTTCAGCACCATATCAGGAGTCCAGTGCTATAACTAGTAGACATTGTTGTTGTTAAGTGCCATTGAGTCAACTCCAACCCATAGTGGTCCTGTATAAGGTTCCTGAGGAGTAACTGCTAGATTTGAACTTCTGACCTTGTGGTTCTTGGTGCAGTGCTTATCCTACAGTGCCACATTAGGAGTCCACTGTTGTTTTTACTGTTAAGTACCGTTGAGTCAACTCCTACCCATAGTGATCCTGTATAGGGTTTCTCAGGAGCTGCTGGTGACTTTGAACCACTGACCTTGAGGTTCAAACCAACCTTGTGGTCCAGTGCTTATCCTATAGCACCACACCAGGACTCCCAGGAGTCCACTAGTAGACATTAAATAATAAAGGAGTCTGGCAAAAACCTGTCAATCTGTGACTACATTAAGTGCATGCTTTTATCTATAATGCTTGTATTTCTTTAAGCATAAAAACACTGTTTTTTTCCACTTAGGTATTGATATCTTAAAATATATTTTCTTGCAGTATTCTTTCTACCAGCAGTTGCATGAACAGAAAAAGTCAGAAAAGTTCTTCAAAGTTCTGTATGACCGAATGAAGGCTGCTCAAAAGGAGATCAGATCAACAGTGACAGTTAACACCATAGACTTAGGGAGCAAAAAAAAAGATGATGACAATGAATTGATGACTTCTGGCCCAAGAGTGAGAGGTAAAGAAATACTTGAATATTTGTGGAAATAGAGTAAGACAAAAAAGGGTAACAGTGTTTGTTGTTACGTGCTGTCTAGTTGGCTCTGACTCATAGTGACCATGTGTAGGGTTTCAAAGGAATGGCTGCTGGGTTTGAACTGCCAGTCTTGTGGCTAGCAGTCCAGTGCTTATCCTACAGCACCATACCAGGAAATTCCTGTAACAAGTGTTTGTTGTTGATGCTGTTGTTGTTAAGTGCCATGGTGTTGGTTCTGATTCATAGCAACCTGGTATAGGGTTTCTAAGGAGCCGCTGGTGGGTTTGAACTCGCTGGATAGCTATCCAGTGCTTATCCTAAAGCACCACACCAGGACTCTGTAACAGTGTTTAGATTTCCCTTATCTTTATTTTTTCACTTATATTGGTCTAATTGTCCCTGCTGTGGCTCTGGAGTGACCTTCAGCCTTAAATTAGTATGGTCATGGCTTGACCCTGAGATAGCTCTGCAGAACCAAACTTTAATAAGATGTGGTCACTGCAAACTGTTCAGGGACATGAAAAGGCTTAACTTTTATTGTGAAATGTTTGCCAAAAGACAACTGTCCCAAACCCTTTAAGTGTTTATGAAATTTAACATTTTAGAAATTATAGCACTACTCCCCATTCAAGTTTCTTGGTATTTAGAATAACAAAGGCATAGTAAATATGTTATAAAGATATTGACATTTTAAAACTTGTTTATAGTTTTCCCAAAATTTATGCGTATATGAGCCTTAATAGTTTTCTACAATTGGCTAAGCATTAAGCCTTTTCATTGTATCCCATTGCAAATTTAAAATTTTGTTGTTAACTCTTTTTTTTGGAAAATTGTTGCACCTCTTATCAGATTTTTAAAAAAATTTTTCATTTCAATTTTTAAATAATGAGACCACTTAGTTGTCTTTGTTTTTAAGTAACCAAAGACAATTAGTTCATAAATTTAAGAGTACTGCTTTATTTTCAGTAAGAGATTCATCATTACATTTAAAAGAGGGAATGAAAGGACAGTTAACAGATGCATCTTCAGCAACATCCAAAGCATACTGTGTATACCGAAGAGAGATGGATCCAGAAATAGACATTATGTGCACAGGACCAGACGCAGGAAATGCTGAGGAAAAGTCTGCAGAGGAAGTCACGATGAGCCCTGCAATTGCCATTATGCAACCAATTCTGAGATTTCTTCAGTTACTATGCGAGAACCACAACCGGGAACTGCAGGTATTGATTCTGTATTGTGAACTAAGCCAGAAAGTGTTATCAGATCTACAAGGAAAGCTGGGACTATAGCCCATGGTTATAAGTAATTAAATTCAAATCCAATGAGGACTTTAAGAGAGAGAATCAATAAAACCAATACTGCTCTTCTAAAATGGGAAGGAACTTTTGTATTTAAGTGAAGAAAAATGTAAGGAAAAATCCCTTTATGCTTGAGAAAATCAGGCTCATATATGATCATTCTGTGTTTTATCAAGGAACTTGTGTAAGCCTCTGTGGGCACCACCTCTTCCTAATAGTCTGATATATGCCAAGGAAAGCCGTCTTCACCTTATCTGTACTTCTGATTTTATAGTCTTCAGAGTTTTTCATCATTTCCATCACAATTCATATTTTTTACTTTCTGCTGTTTGTGGTAAAAATATAACATTCACCACCATAACAACTTTCACATTTAAGATTCACCACTTTATACAAGACAGTATTTAGTATATTTAGGTATTTTGCTACAGTGAAGGTTGATGCCTCTATAATCTATCTGGTCTTGTGCCTTCTTTGTGACATTTTCTTTTGTCAGAGAGATGAAAATTCTTGTGCCTAAGAATTTTGGACTGTTTTTACATTATTTATACACATTGCTTATGTCACTATGGAAAAGTACATGAGAGGTGAAATAGTTCATTGGTATGACTGAAGGTAAATATGTTTCCCTGAAGAAGTTCCATTCATCAGACCATCTTCAGGTTAGACACACTTCCCATTGTGCTACGTCACCCATACTACTGGGTGGCAGAGTTGTCCAAAGACTTTACTACAGTGAAGCTCACTGAAATCTCTGCAGTAAATCCTGGGATCTGCCCTACAGCCTCCTATCCTTGGATTTTCACTATATGCTCAAGAGTACATATCCAGTATTAGAGAGATCACAGATTTTGAAGATGCCTTCTAAGAATGATCTGGTCTTACGCCTTTTTTGTAACATATTCGTTTTTGTCAGAGAGATGTATCCTGTACAGGTATTCTAGAGTACGGGAGTAAAGGTAGCTTGAATTGATAAGAGAGGTAGCTATATATGTATTGGAATAAATATCCTTTAAGGGGTGAGATGCCTGGAAATTAAAGAATTTCTTGGAAAGGACCACCAGAGTTGCTGAAAACCAAAGGCTAGAAGTATTGTTTCCAGAAAGAGGATATGGGACATATGCCTATATACTTGTCTTAGCTTACCAAATTCTGTCATTATATAGCATATAAATGTCATATAATATATGATCAAACATTCTACTGATTGAAATATGGGATTATGTAGTAGTTGTTTAAATTAAGAATAGTAAAAAAAATGAAATTCAAATAAAAATTCAACTTAAAACAACAGTTAACAAACAAAAACAAAGGTTTTTCTTTCTGCTTACCCTCTCCCCAGGGTCATTCTTCCCAGATCACTGCCAACCATTTGTGTATCATTCCAGAAATTTTATGCACTAGGTGGTTGTGTGCCATTGAGTTGGTTCTGACTCACGGTGATCCTGTATAGGGTTTCCAAAAGTGCTGGTGAATTTGAACTGCTGACCTTACAATTAGCATTTCAGTGTATATCCAACAGCATCATACCAGGCTCTGCAAGCATATATAAATCTGTGTAAAAAAACACACATTTGGGGTTATACTATGCATAGTGTTCCTCAATTATTTTATTTATTATTTTTGTTGTTATTAGGTGCTGTCGAGTCAATACCAACTCATAGCGACCTCTTATACACAACAGAACAAACTATTGCCCAGACCTGCTCCAACCTCACAATCGTTGTTATGCTTGAGACCATTGTTGATACCACTGTGCCAAACCATCTCTTTGGGGATCTTCCTCTTTTTTGCTTACCCTCCATTTTGTCACACACGATGTCCTTATCCAAGGACTGGTCCCTCCTGATGTTATGTCTGAAGCATGAGAGATGAAGTCTGGCCATCCTGGCTTCTAAAGAGCATCCTGGCTGTTATTTCATCCAACACAGATTTGTTTCTTCTTTTGTCAGTCTATGCTACTTTTAATATTCTCCTCCAACACCAGAACTCATATGCGTCAATTCTTCTGTGATCTGCCTTATTCACTGTCCAACTTCCTCATGCATATGAGATTATTGAAAATGCCAGAGTTTGGGTTAAGTGCATTTTAGTCCTCAAACTGACATCTTTGTTCTTGAACACTTTAAAGAGATCTTTTTTTCCTTAATCCTTACTATTTTTGCCCTGTGCAGCAGATTTGCTTAATGCATTATATCGTTTGACTTCTTGATTGCTGCTTCCATGAGTGTTGATGGTTAATTCAAGCAAAATGAAATCTTTGACAACTTCAATCTTGTCTCCATTTATATAAGGCTGCTGTTCATTTGTCCAGTGGTAAGGATTTTTCTTTTCTTTATGTGGGGGTGTTACACATACCAAAGACTGCAGCCTTTGATCTTCATCAGTAAGCATTGTAAATCTTCTTTGCTTTCAGCAAGCAAGGTGTATCATCTGCATATTGCAGGTTGTTAATGAGTCTTCCTCCAATCCTGATGTCATGTTCTTCTTCATACAGTCCAACTTCTCCGATTATCTGTTCAGCTTACATATTGAGTATGGTGAAAGAATACAACCCTGGCACACACCTTTCCTAATTTTAAACCATTCAGTGTTGTGTTCGAATGACTGCCTCTTTGTCCATATACAGGTTCTTCATGAGCACAATGAAGTGTTCCAGAATACTCATTCTCCACAATAGTGTCCATAGCTTGTCATGATCTATACAATCAAAAGCCTTTGCATAGTCAATGAAACACAGGTATTTCTGATATTCTCTTTCAACCAAGATCTATCTGACATCAGCAGTGATAACCTTCATTCCATGTCCTCTTAGGAATCCAGCTTAAACCTCTGGCAGTTCTCTGTCAATGTGTTGTTGTAGTGATTTTTGAACTATCTGTAGCAAAATTTCACTTGCATAATTCCCGTGTTCTGTTGGGTCACCTCTCTTTGAAATGGGATCTATTCCACAAATAAGGATCTATTCCAATCAGTTTGCTAGATAGTTGTCTTCCAGATTTCTTGGCATAGATGAGTGAATGGCTTCAGTGCCTTATCAGTTTGTTGCAACATTCCAATTTATATTCCATCAATTCCAGGTGCCTTGTTCTTTGCCAATGACTTCAGTGCACCTTGGACTTCTTCCTTCAGTATTGTTGTCTTTTAATCATATGCTGGTTTGGTGCTGTGGGTTAATGCACCAGACTGCAAACCCATTTGAACTGCAAGGTAGGCAGTTCAAGCTCACCAGCTGCACCTCGGAAACCCTATAAATGATCACTGTGGGTCGGAATTGACTCAATGGCACTTCACAACAACAATCATATGCTATCTCTTGAAACAGTTGAACATTGACTATTTCTTTTTGGTACAGTGACTTTGTGTATTACTTCCATCTTCTTTTGACACTTTCTGCACCATTCAATATTTTATTCATAGACTCCTTCAGTATAGGAAGTTGAGGCTTGAATTGTTCTACAATTCCCTCTGCTTGAGAAATGCTGAGCATTTTCTTCCCTTTTTGGTTGCCTAGCTCCAGGTCATTGCACATTTCATTTTAATATTTTGACTTTGTCTTCTTGAGTTGCCCTTTGAAATTTCCTATTCAGCTTTTACCCCCTCACTTCTTCCATTTGCATTAGCATCTCTAGGCTGGAGAGCAAGTTTCAGCTTCTACTCTAACATCCAGTTTGGTTTTTTCCATCTTTCTTAATGAACTTTTGCTTTCTTTCTGTATGATATTCTTGATGTCATCCCACAAGTCTCCTGGTATTTGGCCATTTGTGTCTAATTCATCAGCTCTGTTCTTAAGATGATCTCTAAATTCAGGTGGGATATGATCAAGGTCATATTTTGTGTCTTATGGACTTGTTTTAATTTTCTTCAGCTTCAGTCTGAACTTGCATATGAGTAATTGATGTCTCCACTTGTCTGTCAGTTTGTTGTACTGTGGTAGTTTGTGCATTGTTGTTTTATTTATTACTATATGTTATAATCAATTGTCTGTTAGTCGATTATGTTTATATCACGTGGAAGTACCTCGTTTTCATAGCTTCTTAGAATTCCAGTGTGTGGATTATTTATACCATTACTTATTTAACCAGTTATGATGTTGTGGGTAGGATATGGTTTCTAGGTTTTGCTATTACTATTATAAATAGTGTACTTATTGATCATTGCAGTACCTAGAATGACTTTCTAGAAGTGGAAGTATGTGTAAACTGAAAGTTTTGTTAGATGCGTTTCTAGGTTGCCTTTCAGAAAGGTTGTATCACAGACTCAAGATGAACAGTGATGCTGTACTCTTTGTAAGGGATCATTTATTTTAAACTTGCTTCCTTCCCAAATGGAACTTTTGCTTCAGTTTCCTTGTGTTCTTTACTTTTCCTTAATCTCTACCATTTTTGCCCTGCTTGTATCATTTTACAGTTGTGATATTGAGATATGTTTATTATGAACTATACTGTTAAATATAGATGCTTGAGGAAAAAAAATGGGAAATTTTCTTTCCTTCAACCTAAGAGAAATTGAATAAATGCAAACACTTTCTTAATAAAGAACAATTCCATTCAAGGCTGCCATGGGGATATTAGTTGAGTAAAGCAAATATACATAGAGAACTGAAAACAATAACAGTCTTTTGTTTTTTAACCCCTTGGGTGTTTTTCCTTTTGCATTCAGAACTTCTTGAGGAATCAAAACAACAAAACAAATTACAACCTGGTCTGTGAGACCCTTCAGTTCTTAGATTGCATTTGTGGAAGTACAACAGGTGGCCTAGGCCTGTTGGGCCTTTACATCAATGAGAAGAATGTAGCGCTGGTCAACCAGACCCTGGAGAGTTTAACTGAGTATTGTCAAGGCCCGTGCCATGAGAATCAGGTAACTGTGAAAGCAATTCTTCATGCAAAAATATTCCTGACTAACTTATTGGCAAAAGATTAAGTTGGCCAAAGAATCAACCTTTGTGTATGTGTAAAAGGTCATGTTGCTTAGCCAGATACATTTACTTTCATACCAAAACATACAAAGACTTGGTTATAAAGTAGTGAATACTGTGCCACATTTTTATTTAACTTCATCTTAAAAGAACATTCCCATGGAAAGGTTCAAGATAAAAATCAGGGTTATTGAAAAGAATTAAATACATTTCTTTTCCATTGCTCAGCTTTTATTCTTAGTGAATCATTCCAGGATCTGTAGAGTAAACTCCCTTTGGCTCCTTTGGTTCCACGATAGTAAGTAGTATATATGATCTCCTTTATGCCCAGAGGAAACTTTGGAAGTAGGTATTATTGCTCCCATTTTATCAATGAGTAACCTTAACTGTGAGATTAAGTGGCTTTCCCAGTGTCTCAGAGTCATAGAACCAGTAAGCAGTAGAGCCATTCTTAACATGCAGGTCATTAGATTCTGAGTCTGAACACTCCTAAATACAGTGCTCTTTTAACTGGATCACATTTTCCTGGGCTAAGTTTCAATCTCTCTTCCAGAAGGTATGTCTGTGGTTCCATTCTCTTGGATATTTAAAATACATTGTGGAGAATTGAAGACAGACATTTGGGGCAGTTAGGCACAGAAGTATACCCACGTATGCTAATTAACTGTTTAACATCCATTCTCGTATTATAGATCATGAATGTTTATCCAACCTTAGAAGAAAAAGTTTTCAAATCTCAAACATTTCTGGATAAAAATTTTAAAGAAGCCTTTTTGGAGCACACATAAATGCTTGACATAGGCAAAAACTGGGAATTGAAGTTTGTTTTTCTATTATAAATTATGTGTATACACATATCGTGCAAATGTTTACACAGATATTTTATGCTTATAAACATACATATATACATTGGTTCATAGACTAAAAACAATTAATGGCATAAATAATTTCTTAGTGTGAGTTTTTCCCCTTCTATGATATGCATATGACACAGTAAGCATCTGTTGATTTTGTCATATATTGTTATAGTTCAGTCTCCTAAAGCAAGAAAACCTAATTGCTGGTTTAAATTTAAGGAAAAATATGCAAAATCAGAGATATGGTTTTGTTGTTGATAAAACTCTGTGTGTGTGTATATATGTTGTTGTTGTTAACTGCTGTTGATTTGGTTCTGACTCAGAACAACCCTATATAGGGTTTCTGAAACTGTACAGCTTTGTGGGAGCAGAAAACCTCATCTTTTTTCTGAGGAACTGCTGGTGGACTCAAACCATTGACTTAGTGGTTCATAGTCTAATGCGTATTCTACAGAATCACTGTATGTATATATACGTACATATATTGTTATGTTCTTAAGAGCCATCAAGCTTAGTGACCCTGTATAAAGTTTTCCAAGGAGAAGTTGGTGAGTTTCAATCGCCAACCTTGTGACTGAAACCAGCCTTGCAGGCAAGTGCTTTATCCTACAAATATGGATATATATTTGTTGTTGTTGTCAAGTGCCATTAAGTTGGTTCCAACTCATAGCAACCCTGTGTAGGGTTTTTGAGGAGCAGCTGGTGAGTCTGAACTGCCCATCTTTCAGATGAAACCAACCTGCGGGTCCAGTGCTTACCCTACAGCAACACACCGTGTGTGAGTATATGTATGTATATATCTATATATCTATATAGATATATACATATATACACATATATTATAGGAGCTGGTAGTATAGTGGGTTATAAATTGGGCTGCTAATTTCAAGGTCAGCAATTTGAATCTGCCAATTACTCCGTGGAAGAAAGATTTACAGCCTTAGAAACCCTACATAGGGTTTCTATGAGTCAGAACTGGCTTGACAGCAGACAGTCACCATCACCAGATATACTATTGTTGTTATTAAGTGACATCGAGTAAGTTCTGACTCATAGTGACCCTGTTAAAGGGTTTCCGAGGAGTGGCTGATGTGTTTGGACCACCACAGGGTCGTGATTCTAGTACACCAGCTGTTTCTCGTGAGAAAGATGGTGCTTTATGCTCCCATAAGGATTTAAAGCCTAGGAAGCCCTATATAGGACAGCTATGAGTCAGATCCAACTTTATGGCACACAGCAACAAATGTAGCAATAGATAGATAGATGGATGGATAGATAGATAGATAGATAGATAGATAGATGAGATATAGGTATAGATATATGTTTGAAGCATGGTGCCTCTAGAGGATAAGCACTGGACTGTAAACCATAAGTTCAGTGGTTCAAGCCCACCAGTTGCTTCACAGGAGAAACATGAGGCTTTCTGCTCCTGCAAAGATTTACAGCCTCCAAAACCTTATACAGAGTCACTGTGAGTCAGAACTGACTTAACAACACTTAATAAAAACATACATATATATTTAATTAAACAACAAAAAATTATATATATATATATAAAACATACACCTTCACACATGCATACATAAGAGGGCTTCAAAATGTTCATGGAAAAATTCCATTATTTTTTAATTCCATTTTTCAATTAACTTTTGGAAGCCCCCTTGTGTGTGTGTGTGTGTATCTTCCCTCATTCCATGATAATGATTTCCATTATTCATTAGTTCTTTTGTTCCCTACTTTTGAGTTTTGAAAGTTATTTACTAAAATAGGTAAGCTCTTAAGTAAAAACAACTAATAACACAAACCCCATGCTCTGAAAATACGTGGAAGGAAAGAATGTTGCTAGCAGATTCCAGAGGTGATCTGCAAAGAGATTTCTTCTAAGTTTAGCAAACATTTTAATGAGCAGAAAAAACTCAGAAAATGAAGACGGTGGATGGAAACATCTTCCTCTGTAGCAGGGGAATCAAAATTCCTGGTAAAGGCAGAGAAAGACTTATTTTGAAAAAGCAGTCATTTGAGAAATGCCTTGATTTTTCTGTTTCACACTTAATTCACCAGGGTTTCAGTTTTTTAAACCCCATGACACTAGATGCTATACTGTAACAAGTAGTTTCACAAATTCTACCCCACAAATTCCTGATTTCCAAGTTCTATAAAAATGAATAAAGTTCATTGCCCATGTACAGTAGTCCTGAGCCATCAAAATATAGCTGTTTCTCTCTCAGAATGTTTAAAAACTTTACTTTAATAAGAAACTTGCACAAATCACTTAGGGAGTCTTGGAGGCACAGTGATGAAGGGCTTGGCTTCCCACTGGAAGTTTGTCAGTTTGAACCCATCAGCTGCTCAGTGGGAGACAGATATAGCAGTTAGCTTCCATAAATATTTACAGCCTTGGAAACCCTAAAGAGCAGTTCTACACTGCCCTATAGGGTTGCTTTGAGATGGAATCAACTCCACCACAATGTGGTTGTTTTTTGGTTTTGTTTGACCAGTTATCTTAAGTTAAAATAACCTACTGAACTTTTCCCTTAATCATTATAAAGTACAGATGTTCTCAAAACATCAGGAGGCTCCCAACCTTTCTGTGTGCAACAGCAAGACTTAACCACTCATTTAGGATTAAGGAGCTGCCAAATTAAATTGCTGCATTGTGACTACTTGAGTTTGCTTATAAACCTTTGTAATAAGGGCACACCCTTTTGTGAATGGAAATATTCTCTTAGCCATGATAGATCATATCTGAAGATTCTATATTTAAGACATTCCTTTAGTGATGGGTATAGTAAGACTTACTCATTAAATTAACATTTACATTAATGCAAACCCACTGCCATTGAGTTGATTCTGACGTATGTTTCAAAGTTCAGAAAACTGAAGTCATTCTATTATTTTATGGCATATGACTTCTAATGCTGTTATGATGTAAATAAAATGTTATTTTTACAAACATTGTGTTTTCTAGACATGTATTGCTACTCATGAATCTAATGGGATTGACATCATCATTGCATTAATTCTAAATGACATAAACCCTCTTGGAAAATACCGGATGGACCTCGTTCTCAAGCTAAAGGTAAAGTAAATCCATAATTTGGTGAGAAAAATTTATATACAACTCCAAGGATCCCTGGTGGTGCAGCAGTTAAGTGCTCAGCTGCTAATGGAAAGGTTGGCAGTTTGAACCCACATAGTGACTCCGAAGAGAAAGGTCTGGAAACTGCTCTCCTTATGTGAGGCAGTTCTACTCTGTCACATGAGTGGAAATTGACCAAACAACACCAATATCAAACTCCCTTTCTGAGTTGGTTCTCAGTCTTCAACTAGCTTTGTTATTAAAAAAAAAAAAAGCCATGATATTAGCATATTTTTCAACTACTGCATTGACAGAAAGGGTTCAAGTATTAGAAGCAAACAAATAAACAAATGCTGCTGAGTTGATCCTGACTCATAGTGACCCTGTATAACAGAATGGAACTGCTCCGGAAGAGTTCCAAGACTGTAATCATTATGAAAGCAAACCACCACTTCTTTCTCCTGCGGAGTGACTGGTGTGTTCTAACCATCAGCCTTTGGATTAGCAGTAGAGTTCTTAACCAATGAGTCACTAGGATTCCTAGTGAAAGAATAATACTCACTAAATTGCTGATAAGATGTTGAATAAACTTTGAAGTAATGCTCAACTGGAAGATATTTTATTACAAGTTTTTCAAGTAGCCCCTTCAGGTTTCACTACTTCCCTTATGTTTTTATTATATATTTTCATTATGCAGAGAAGCAAAAAGTGTTGAGCAGTCACTACACCAGATATTTTTAATTCACCTTGACTACAGAATTCTATCTAGCAAGTCACAATTAATGAGACAATGTGGAAGGAGTGCTGTGTTTTAGTTTTACGGCTGTCTTCTTTTTAAGAGTTGTTCGCTTTTATATTAAGGTCTTGTTTTTTCCCAAAATATTAGAATCCAATGGGTATGTTGCCAGTTCATATCCATTGGCTTCTACAAGGATGACGATAAGTTCAGATCACTCAAAGAATTTATAATCTCCATTAATCCTGGATGTTTATTATTATTGTTTTTAGGAGATGCTTGATTATAAAAATGAATATTAGGACTGGTGAAAATCTATAAAAAATAAAAATGGGACAGAAAAATAAAGTAATACTCTAATTCCCCAGAAAAGAAAACAAAATCTTTTCAATAATGGGAATTGTTTATGTCATCATTGTCACCATTATTATTGGTTACTAAGATTAGTCATTTAATAGTGGTCTTGGGCTGCACTTTTGAAAGAATAAAATAGATGGATAAAATATGGTATTAAAACTATTCAATTGAATTAATTTACATAGCTTTAAATATGTGTAGTAATGTCTGTGTAGAACAAACAACTGATTCAACTTCATGTTTCATCTTAACGCAAAGTCATTTAGAAACATCTCAAGGACAAGCTGACTGTCTTTTATGCTTCTATCAAAGATTTTGTGTTGAGATTTCTATCCAAATGAACATCACTAATACTCTGTTGAAACATCTCACAGGTATTTTTACATCTTGCAATTTTGCCAAAATTCTATGGCAGTGTATTGAAAACATAGTGTCAGGAAACATCTTTCAAGATGTTTAAGATGTTGTGCTTTGTATTTAAGAGTTCCTTAACTCTCTAGTTCCTTTTTTGTATTATAAATTCACTCCATCAGACACATTTTTATATCTATGAAATATCTGTAGGTAGACTTTTTGAGACAAACAGTGTATTTATAGACCAAAGTAAAATTCATCAAAGAAAACATAAGCTATTTTCATCCTCTGTTATGCAAAAAGAGAAAAGATTATTATTCCTCAACCTAGATGGTAAACATTTTCATGTATACTAGATCTAGTCATCACTTGTCTCTCAGTTTATCATACTGTAGTGGCTCTTGTGTTGTTGTGAAGCTGTGCTCCTTTAAATACCAACAGAGTTACCCATAGTAGATAGGTTTCAGCAGAGCGTCTAGACTAAGACAGATTAGGAAGGAGAATGTTTAGCCACTGGAAACCTTATGAATAACAGCGGAACATTGTCAGATATAATGGCAGAGGATGAAATCATTATGAATAGCAGCAAAACACTGACAGATATAATGCCAGAAGGTGAGCCTCTTAGATTGTAAAGTGCTCTAAATACAACTAGGTAAGAGCTGCCTCCTCAAATAGAGGTGACCATAATGTCGTGAATGGAACAAAGCTTTCAGGACCTTCATTTGCCAATGGGACAAAAAACAAAATGAGGAGAAGCAGATGCAAACATCCATTAATAATAGGAACATAGATGTACAAATTATGAATCTAGGAATATTGAAAGTTGTCAGAAATGAAATGGTATGCATAAACATCAATATCCTAGGCATTAGTGAGCTGCAAAGCACTGGTGGTCCTGACCATTTTGAATCTGACAATCACTTGGTTTACTGTGCTGGGAATGACAAGTTGAAGATGAATGTTACCACATTCATCATCAAAATTGACACTTCAAGATCTATATTGAAATATAATAATGTCTGTGAAAGGGTAGTATCCATACACCTACAAGGAAGACCAGTAAATACCACTAGTATTCAAATTTATACACCAACCACGAAAGCCAGTGATGACGAAATTGAAGAATTCTACCAACTTCTTCAGTCTGAAATTGATCAAACATTCAATCAAGATGTATTGATAATTACTGGTGATTGGAAGGAAAAAGTTGGAAACAAAGAGGAAGTATCAGTATTTGGAAAATATGGCCTTGGTGATCTAAATGATGCTGGCGATCACATGATAGAATTTTATAAGACCAATGATTTATTAATTATAAATGCCTTTTTAAACAATGCAAAAGGCAACTATATAAATGGATCTCACCAGATAGGATGTTGTTGTTGTTGTTGTTAAGTGCCGTCGAGTCGGTTCCGACCCATAGCGACCCTGTACAGGGTTTCCGAGGGTGTAAATACTTACGGGAGTAGAAAGCCTCATCTTTCTCCCGCAGAGCAGCTGGTAGTTTCGAACCGCTGACCTTAAGGTTCACAGCCCGATTTGTAACCACTACGCTACCAGAGCACCAGATAGGATACTCAGGATCAAATTGACTATATATGTGGAAAAAGACCTCGGGAATCTCAGTGATATTGTTGTTAAATGCTTTCTAATGCATTCCAACACATAGTGACCCTGAACAGGGTTTGAACCACCAACCTTATGGTTAGCAGTGCAATGCTTACGCTACTGTGCCACACCAGGACTTCGGAGAAGCTCCATATCACTAGACAAAACAAGGCCAGGAACAGACTGTGGAACAATCGACTGCTCTTATACAAGTTCAGGCTGAAGCTGAAGAAAATTTAAACAACTTCATGTGAGCTAAAATACGACCATGAATATATTCCACCTGAATTTAGAGATCAAACACAGATTTGATGCATTAACACTAATGACCGAAAACCAGAAGAGCAGTTGTTGTTTTAAGTGCCATTGAGTCAGTTCTAATCCATAATGACCCTGTATAGGGTTTCTGAGGAGTAGCTGGTGAGCTTGAACCACCGACCTTGCAGTTTAAACAGCTTTGCAGTTTGGCACATTAATCCACTGTGCCATACTTAGACTTGTTGTTGTTGTTAAGTACCGTGGAGTCGTTTTTGACTCATAGCGACACTGCACAGGGTTTCTGAGGCTGTGAATCTTTACAGGAGCAGAAAGCTTCAGCTTTCTCCCTAAGAATGGCTGGTAGTTTCGAACTGCCAACCTTGAGGTTAGCAGCCCAATTCACAACCACTACACGACCAGAGCTCCTTCACACCAGGACTAGTGGGATGAAATTAAGAACATACTACTGGAAAAAACCTAGAAGATTATTAAAAGACAGGAAAGAAAGAAAAGATCAAAATGGATGTCAAAAAAGCTCAGAAACTTGTTCTTGTGTGTAAAGAAGTAAATGTGAATGGAAGAAATAAGGAAATAAAAGAACTGAACAAAAAATTTCAAAGGGCAGTTTGAGAAGACAAAGACAAGTATTTTAATGAAATGTGCAAAGACCTGGAGTTAGAAAACCAAAAGGGAAGAATTAGCATTTCTCAAGCTTAAAGAATTGGAGAAAAAATTCAAGTCTCAACTTGTTGCAGTATTGCAATATTGAGCAACAGCAATGGGTAAAATATCGAATGATGAAGAAAGGATCAAAACAAGATAGAAGGCATACACAATGTCATTATACCAAAAAGAAATGGTTGATGTTCAACCATTTCAAGAGGTACCATATGATCAAGAACTGATGTTGAAGGAAGATACCAAAGCAGCACTTAGGCATTGGTGAAAAACAAGGCCTCAGAAATTGATGGAATACAAATTAAAATGTTTCAGCAAACTGATGCAACACTGGAGGAATTCACTGATGTATGTCAAGAAATTTGGAAAACAGTCACCTAGCCAACCAATTGGCACAGATACATATTTGTGCCCATTCCAAAGAATGGTGACCCAATGGAATGCAGAAAGCATCCAACAATATCACACACAAGAAAACTTTTGCTGAAGACAATTCAAACACAGTCACAGCAGAACACTGACAAGGGAACTGCCAACAATTCATGTTGGATTCAAAGGAGGGTGTGAAATGAGGGATATCGTTGCTGACCTCAGATGGATCTTGCCTGAAAGCAGAGTATACCAGGATGATGTTTACTTGTGCTTTATTGACTATGCCAAGGCTTTCTAATATGTGATCATGTCCAGCTATGGATAGCAATAAGAAGAGTGGATA